CCTCCGCTAACTTGACGACGACACAACACAACACCATTCAGCGGATACCTCCCTCTATCGGCCATCTTCTGCGAAGGAGTCCCAAACGCACTTTCGCAGACTGAACCGAGAGTGGGTTATAGTAGCTAGATCAGCAGGTTCGAATTCGAGTCTGGTAACACGCTTCAAAATTGAGTCACCGTGTTTTCCAGTCTTGTACCTGCTCACAAGACACACAAATATTCGGTGGCTGTTGATCTGGCAACAATTGAACCCACCTCTGTCAAAGTTCGACCAATTATCAGCTGCGTGTGTAGCCCCATTGACCGGATCCCTTGGTTTCTCAGTGTCAGCTTGGCCCAGCTGCTCAAGTATACACCATCTCACCTGACAAATGGCCCAATGCTCCTGGATCGTTTTCAAGCACTGCAAATCAAGAGTGCTGATTGTGTCATGGACTCATTCGACGTGGAATCCCTGTACACGAACGCAAGCAATGGGTCTGCTATGGAAGCCGTAATTGAGCTTCTAAATCAGCTTCGAGGCGAACGATTAGCACCCACACTGGCCGTTGCCTTCATGTCCAGTATAGAAACGCCTGTTTCGGAATGCTACCCCATGCTATGTTGTCGTTACATCGATGATTGGTGCTTGGTGGTTTGCCCTACACAACTAGAGCTAGATGCCTGTTTTGGTCTGTTCAACTTGCAGTCTGGCCACATAAAACTGACACGGGAAGAACTGAGAAAATTAACTCCCATATCTAAATATTCAGGCGAAGATTCAGGGCGGCACGTTGTCGACAAAGTAGTAAAGGAAGGAAGGAGCAAGAACATTGTCGTGCCTTGCCGGTCTGCCCACCCTCTCCAGATGAAACGCGCTAAGTGAGGAATATGTTCCGAATAGCAACATACGTCTGCTAGGGAGGTGAGGAGCGGAAGGAGTCGTTGTAACTGGCACGCGGTATAGCTGTTGAAAATGGCTGTGAAACACCTTCGACCTCTCACAAAGCCAGAAGGGTGGGGCGAAGAACAGACGCGGGGTAGCCTGATAAGCGGCAGAATGCCTTTTATTTTACCATTCGTCTCCGACGAGGTGAGCACTTCTGCATAACATAGTAGCCATTGTAAATGTACCACCCAATAACCTAAAGCGCCGCCTGGTGAAGAATCAATTGTACGACCGCCTATGTACAACCACGATTGTGTGGTCTGCCCCACCGGCAAAGAGGGTGATTGTACTGTGTCAGGGGTGGTTTACACAATCACCTGACCGAAATGTGGGGACCAGTATATCGGCGAGACGGCTCGTCCGCTTTGCGTGAGGGTGAAAGGGCATCTGGATGGCAAGAACAGGTCACGATTGCCCACTGCCTTGGGAGCCCATAGCGTTCTAATCCACAACGGAGAAGATTTTGGAGTCGCGGCTGAGGTCTTGGCGCGAGATGCACAAACCTCAGCGTGGAAAACCCTCGAGGCTTCTGGATCCATCGATCCATAACTGAACCGGAGGGAAGAGTGCCTCTGTATCACGCGGAAACTGAGACCCTATATAAGGTTGGCTTCCCACGAAGGCTCTGAATGCAGAGCCGTCCGATTCGGTTCAGCAGCTTCCTGCTGGTCTCGAGGATCGGACTGGGTTGCAGTCAGTGGTCTTCCTCATGACTGGGCGACGACCTGATTTGGGTCGAACTTCAGTGGGACTGCAGAGACATGTGGTCGGATAGTAACAAATCGTTTCGATCCTTTCAGGCTCTGATGAAGGCGGTTTCGCCAAAACTTGCGTAAGCCCAATAAAGTGGTATGTCAACTTTGCGAGTGTTTCTACAAAAGAAGATCCATGGTACCACAACTAAGCCGAGGTTTACTGAAAGCCGTACTTTACAAAATCTCAACAGTCCCGACGGTTTTTTTACATCGGTGGGCGGTGCCGAGGGCAAAAAGAACACACTACAGATATAGGGAATACCCACCACACTGGAGGGAAAATATCAAGGGATACCCATTTCACACACAGAAGGAAGATCGCCTGTTTTCATTTGGAAATTTCAGGGGAAGTACTTACCACAGACGCAATCCAGCTAGCCTTCAGTTGAAAAGTCAAAGGGAACACCCACTGGACACGCAGAAGGAGGATCACCAGGCGAAGCCGGGTGATCAGACTGGCTCAGCTGGAAATGTCAAGGGAATACCCACTTCACACGCAGAAGATCGCCAGAAGTTGGGCGATCCGACTGCACCAGTTGAGTATGTAAAGGGAGTACCCACTGCACATAAGACGTCAGCAGAGGGAAAAAAATCCCATGTTCCGTAATTAAAAGGTTACCTTTATTTGTGGCTGGCGCAAGTGTCCTGGCTCCGAGCCTGAACCGCCGCCACACCTGCTTCTTGGGACAGAAAACTACGATTGTGCCTGGCCGGTGTACAGTGGAGTGCTCACCGGACGGTGGGGCGTTCCCTACGACCACGCCGGCGAGCGCTCCGCCGATGGCGTGGCGATGGAAAGCTGCGAAATTTCAGGAAATCATCACCATTACCCCTCCGTCTCTGACACTCTCTGCGCTCTAACACACCCAACCGCGCCCTCTACTCACTCTTCCGTCCTGCACTCTCGCCGATCGATAATGGCTGACGCTGTCCATCAGCTGATTCCCGACGCATTTTCTCCGAATTCCTGCCATATTCTGCTGAAAAAAAGCTGCGAATTCCCGACTTTCGGCTTCAACCGTCAAAGGTGAGTATTTCTACTAAAATTGTATCACAATTTGCACGAATTTAGCTTGAAATTCCCCTAAAAAAACATTTTTTTCTTCTGATTTTTGCAATTCGTCCAAAGTTTTCCTTATCGTCCCCAGTTTTTCTTTGTGTTACTGACCGGCTTTTCAAAGTAGAGTCTCAGATGTGATCTCGTTATTATTGAGAACCATCTTTGACTCTGTTTTGAAGCTCGGAGTCGCCTTAATGGTCCCCTTTTCCCAAATCTCCTGAAATTTTGTGAGTCTCTGCGGACTATTTTTTGTTTCTCTTCCTTTTGGATTCTGTCCTCGAATCTGCGTCTTGTTTTCATTATCTAATAGTGAACCGCTTTTTTGGTAATGTTGGAGTGAATTATGTAGCAAGTGTGCGCTCTCCGAGCTTCAAAACAGAGTCAAAGATGATTCCTGATAATAACGAGATCACATCTGAGACTCTACTTCGTAAAGCCGGTCAATAACATAAAAAAAACTGGGGACGATAAGGAAAACTTTGGACGAATTGCAAAAATCAGAAGAAAAAAAATGTTTTCTAAAGGAATTTCAAGCTAAATTCGTGCAAATTGTGATGCAATTTTAGTAAAAATACTCACCTTTGACGGTTAAAGCCGAAAGTCGAAAATTCGCAACTTTTTTTAGCTGAATGTAGAAAAAATACTGCGAAAGTGCCGTAAAATCAGCTGCTTTAGCAATTATCGATCGGCGAGAGCCCAGAGCGGGAGAGTGGGTAGATTGTGCGGCGGCGTGCGTAGAGCGCAGAGTCAGTGTCAGAGACGCAGGGGCAAGGCTATTGCCGCTCTCGACCAACAGGCACATATGGGGCCGCCAGCCAGCGTGGCCTTAGAACCGCCCCACCGTCCGCAGAGAACTGCACTGTAGTAACAGGTGACTCTTTTTGCTGTTAATGAACTGCAGGGGTGGGGGCCAGAAAAAAGCCACTTCTTTTCATTGACTTTCGTGGCGCTATAAGTTGCACTTTATAAATTCTAATCGGACATTTCTACTACCGTAGTAAAGAGAATATTAAATACTATTGTAAAACTCCGCCACAGCCTTCTGGACGAGTGCCATCGAGAGATTCTGGCCGCGACCGCGATGTGGTGCCTGAGATCGGCGAGATAGTCGATTTCTCCGCCACCGTAGGCCACCCTATTGAACTCCGCCCGAATCGGGTAACTGAGATTCAGTTCAGGTGATCTACTTGGATATACCATCTTCTTTAGGTACTCAGCCCCCTTCCATTCCAAGTAGGCGAGAGTTTCTCCACGAGAGTTCCTTCGATTCCGCGATGTAGCACCCAATGCTGTAGCAGTACAAAGTTTTCAAGAAGGTAGGGCGGCGACATGTGGGGAGGATATTCTTCTCGAGTTGCTCGATGTAACCGCTCACCTTCATCCGGGGTCCACGAAGAAAATATTGGTCTTTCCATTCCAGGTACCTGCGGCCCATACCATCAACCCGCGCCTTGGCGACTGCGGTGAAGATGATGTCCTAGACCGTAGCGACGTTGTCGGAGCTGCTCGATGTTGGAGGTCTTCCAGATCGAGAGTACTAGTCTCCAGGTAGCTATCCATGGGTGAATCCATACTAGACTTTTCGCAGCTAAATCCACAGGTCATCTCCAGTCAGGCTGCGAATGCGGATGACCTCATATTTTGGTGTACATGAAGGTGGCGGGAGAGAGCCAGCTCCTGCTTATCGAGGAACATCTGTATCTTCCGTCCTGGTACTCGTATCCACATCCTCTGTCTGGGCTGCAAAAACATTGCTATGTGACTCGGTCGAAGTAACTTTTTTTGCCCCCCCCCTGTACTCTATCCATCTTCATTAAACCACCGGGTTAAGAAAGACCGATTTCTCCCTCTCTTATAAAAAGGCGCCTTTTTCTTTCTTAATCGCCACACTAACAACAAGAACCTCGCTCGTGCAGCGAGGAAGGGCACGTCAGGCGACGAAGCGAATTACCGCGAACGATTATCGTTACGGGACCCCACATGAAATGAGGCCCTCTTGCGTTGTGTACTGCGTTGCGCTCACATTCACCCCTTTGCATTTGTTGCGAACTATGGTGGATTATAGGGTTATTTTGTGATGTTGCTTCTGTTTGAATCCTGTTTCAATTTTGGACTGTCTTATAACTGGTTTTATTTTGAATGACGTTAAAGCGTTGATGAGGAGAGACCTGGAACATCTTATTACTCATATGGGTATTTGTATGCAATTTTACCTAGGAATATGGTTCTTATAGGGCAAATGTTCAGGTTTTTAAATGGATGACGAACCTCCCAAAGCTCATTTTTTCTTTGCTGAGGTAAGAGTAATTCTTTTCTTTCTTTTTTAAGATCTTTTCCGTACAACGCTATTTTGTGATTTTTGCTAACATTTAAACCTTTTCAGAGCGATGAGGATTCGCTCGATATTGCTGACCATAAGTCAGATATTCCTAATAATGTTCCGGATCCATCCACAGTTAGTGTTCCTTTAAACGATTATTTCCCTTCCTTTATTTTCCTTCCCATTGGTGTTCGCCTTTATTTTCTCCTGTTTACGATGATGGCTCCTTTATGCTATACGTTATTTTTTGTCATTCCAAGAATTTCGCCTAGAATTGTTGTGACAGTCTCCGCGAATCAAATTTTGCTTTCGAAGAGCAAGCCGAGCTTCAGAATTTTTCCGAGGTCACACAGGTGAGCATTCCTTGATTTACCTACAGAGGCACCGACGTTCACTTGCTCGCGTTCCAAAGATTACCTTTTATTACGCTTCAAATACGCACAACAATACCAGATAGAGCCAAAGCATCACAAAAAGCGAAAGAACATATGGCGAGTCATTGAGTGGGTTTCTTCTTCAGGGTGAGGGCACCCTGTGCTGGGTGAACGGCTTACCATACTCGAATGTAAGAAGTCATAGTGGAAATAAAAAGCACTATGGATAGAGAGCTTAGACAGTTGCGAAAAACCAACGCGGACTGAGATCTTAGAACGATTTGTGGGCAGTTATAGGGCCGCTACGTAATAGCTCACTAACGGTTTAGGAATATAAAGATTGTATCGCAGATTACCAACCCGACCTTCGTTTTTCCTGATGGCCTCTGAAATAGCCAAAAAAGTTGCGAGGCAGGAATTTTGAATTTGCACCACCTTCAGCTTCGTTGCTTTGCGTGTAACTTGAAAACTGACTACAGTTGGGTTCTCTTCGGACGAAGGGGCGTTCATACGTTAACGGTCCGACGTATGCGTGTCGGTGGAATGCATGCCTCAGCGCTTCCTTACATCGACTGCGCTCACACACATGCCTTCGCGATACCTACTCACTCTTCCGTCCAGGCTCTCGCCGATCGATAACGGCTGGCGCGCTCAGTTAGCTGATTTCTGCTGCATTCAGCTTCTGGAATTATACTTTGTCCGACTTTAATAAACGAGTGTAAGTTTGTTTACTGAAGCTAGATTTCAATTTGCATGATTTGAGCAAGATTTTCTCCTCGAAAGCTAATTTTTTCCTCATTAGTTTCGCTCTTTTTAAAATTTTTCTTGAATGTCTTCGTATAATTCCAATGGAATTGATTGAAATCATGCAGAAAGAAATCTAGTTTGAGTAAAACATACTTACCTTCTCTTATCAAAGCCGGACAGCAAATAGTTCCAGCTTTTGGAAATTTACAGTGGAAATCAGCTGACCGTAAGCGTCAGCTATAATGGATCGACGAGAGTCCAGTCGTAAGAGTGAGCAGATAGCGCGCGTGTGTGTGAGCGCAGAGTCGATGTTAGAGAGCGCGGAGGCAGTGATGTTAATCCCCCCCCCCAGACCTCCGCCTTTCCACTGGCACGCAGCTGTCAGACCGCTCGCCAACGTGGACGAAGGAACGCCCCCTTGTCCGAAAAGAACCCGGCTATACTTTCCAACAGTAAGGAAGTGGTGCGTAAGCTGCACAACGAAGATGGTGGGAAATATAGGCATGACTACTACTACTACACATAGCCAGTGTTGGAGAGAAAATGGAATTTCCTTGAACATTCAGAGAAAGCATTGTGTGAATCGGAATTCCTAGTGTTCAGCATGTTTGACTTTAACATGCTTGGCAGGTTGGGATTCTTGCGGTCTGACTCCCCACGTTGGCAGATCCGGGGCGGAGGGGGGGGGGGGGAACAAGATGTGCGGAACGCACTTGAGGGCGGAGAAGGATAAATGAGTGGTGGTGTAAAAACTTCAAAAATTCGTAACTCGGTGTAAAGGTTTGTAGTATGCTGATATTTTTGGAACACTCAAACTACCACATACTTCTTGATCTCGTCTTTGAATATTATTCACCTGATTTCAAGTGTATCATTTACTTTAATGGTGCTACTGTGTACTCACTACTCTGATTACGAGTATCTCTTACAATTTTGTGCTGGCTGCTACTTTTCCGCGGATTTGTGCAAGCGCCGACCTAGCGTTACAACTTTTCCATCGAATGATGGATGATCAATCGCCCTGGTCATGAATAGGACTTCATTTCCAACGCCGGCGCTCCAAAAGGTTGTTATCTTAGTTCTCTGTTACTTTCAAAAGGACTTTTAGTGATTGTAGTTGAAAGTATCACGATGCGAAGTCGACACACTGACATAAATCGGGCACTGAAGATGAGTACTGTGTTTTATCACCGCCGTGTAACAATAACGGAAGCATAGGAAACTATGTCGGTATTCATGAGAACGAAAATGTGATCCATTTCTGGTTTTGGCAATTTTCGTCGTCGAGACCTTATCATCTAGTTATGAAGCACAGTTGGGAGCATTCGATAAATTGGAGAAGGAATAGGAGGAATTTGAATTGTACAAGGAGTTCTTCAAGAAAGATCATATGTTCTTCAGATTATCGCAGGTTATCGTCGGCGTTGGACGTTAACGTTGCTGTCGAAAAAATTGGCCAAGAACTTTACATTGGCACTCACAGAAAAGATTGAGCAGTGAGGCTGTCTGATCAACGTCGATCAACACCTACATGGTAATTCGAAGCTTCGTCCAATCTTCTCTTCGAAAACAACTCTATAACGAGGTCGACCTCATCATCTTCAATCGAACGTCGCACAAATTACATCGTGGTTTGTTCCGAAGCTCTGGGATTCCTTTTCCAGGTGTTGAGAAAACAGTGTCACCAAGATCAAATAACCAAGCCTTCCAAAATCTACCATCAATCTGCATTTCTTCCCTGCTCTCGCCGACGTATGGATCGATTCCGTTATTGGAAACATCGACGAGGGGTAATATTGGCTTGTTGAACATCATGGGAAAGTTCGTAAAACCGAGACTTTCATTGTCGCCAGTCTTTGGAAAATCTTTGAAAATCTTTTATTTCTGAAGATTCTCATTAATACGTCAGTGTGCAGCTGAGCTACCGGCGCTTACGAATTCACTTAGCAAAGCACAATGATAGTACACAGACTTGGATGACTTTTTGGGCTTGTGAATTCTTCACTCAAGTGTTCGGTGCCTCAATTTGCCTTTGTATGCTCTTTTACTTTCGAGTGTCTTCAGTCATGCTTTAGAACTGCGATGTCCCTCCTGTGTTAACGGACGGAGCCTCAATTGATTCCGCTGAATTCACAAGAGCAGTGAGTTTTTCCCCACTCTTTTGTTTAACTAGCTGATCGTTTACGATTTCACGTCGCTTTTTTCACTTCTTCAATTTTTTGTATGCTTTTATTCAAGGCTGATGGAAAAGCCCCTATTGAAGGACATCACGAAGCAAAATTGTCAGAGGCAAATGTGCGGGAGGTATTGTTTCTTCTGTGTTATTATTAAAATTGAACGAATCAGGCTTCATGAATTTTTATAAAATGTTGCTCCTCATTCCGTACTCGACGCATGTTTTGTGCTCGATCAACTCTCTTAAAGGCACATTCCGCGATAAAATAAGGCTATGACCTCTCAAATATGTCGGACCATCCGGAAGGCGACCTTTGAGGCTGCGCTACTTCCAAAAAGTGAAACACGGCAAGAACTCCGCTAGAAGCTTACTAATTAGGCCCATGGACACCCCTTAGGCCCATGCCGACCCTCACCGGCTGCTAGCTTGTGCTAGTAGCCACTATGTTACCTTTCTCTATAACATTTCGGACTGCTTTTTCTGCTGCTTTTCTCCGCTAATCAGATACTTAGCACTTCTTTGTGCCTATTTGAGTTCCGTTTCCCGCAATTTGCGGTCGCGAACTGTGCCTTTAACTCTAGAGTCATAAGGCTCGTGCTGGCATAGAACTTTATTACTAGCGTAGAATGGAAAACTTCATTTGTGCGACAGCCTTTGGCTGGGCTGAGCTGAATCTCATGTCCTAATTGATAGCTTGCATCCTGCACTTCATTGAGCCATTTAGTATGTGCGCATTCGTAAACCCCGCTCGTATGGTGCAACACCACATAGCTGCCTTTTTTGTAGAGAACTGTTTTGTGTACATCCAGTTGGTTCGTGATCAACTGGTGCCTCAATAATTTTCAAAACAGCAGACACTTAAGGAACTAATAAATTTATTAGGAGTAAGAACAATTAATAAGTGAAAAAAGGTGACAATGAATGCAAGCAATTAATGAATAAGCTGCAATGCAGGGAATGAGTCGGGTCATTCGTACAGGAGGTGGGTTGCGTGAAAATGAGATGCCGCTCACGAGAATTGAACTGGTCCATGCCGTGAAGATAACCTGATCTCTAGGTCCCACTGGTCCCTAAGAACCGCTCAGGGTAATGGTCACTTAGGCCGTACTCAGAGGGAATAGGAGGAGGGGGACAATTGTGCTTGCAGTTTAATCCGATTTTTGCTTACAGGTTCACAGAAAACTATATTTCAAATTTATTTGTCCCAATCTTATTATAGTTCTTCCTTTACAAATAATTCGCTCTGTGCTGTTGGTATTGTGGATCAGTAAGCTATCTCGTGCTCACGACTGTTGCGTAGTCTACTCTTGATGACGCGCATTTTTCTGTTGCACTTCGATTTGCTCTCATACTTGGCGTGCGCCGATGTTCAGTGGAGCTTTATAATGGTATGTGACACTGCGAAATGGACAAAAAGGGCTTGATACAAAATGCAATGAAACTCAGCGAAGGTCAAACAAAACAGAGTACTAATATTCGTTCCGTTTTATGTGCTTTTATGGTATATGTTATCATCTGCAGATAAGTAGGACTGCTCAGGTGTCTAACATTGCCAACAATTTTTGGTATTTCCCCGGTACTCAGCTATTTCCTCATTCTCAGGCTTTGGCAATATTGCTGCTATATTCTGAAAATTTGTGGATGTTCCTCTAGAAATCGTTGAAGCTGGTGAGGAAGTTATGCTGAATTCCCTTGCAGTGTTTTGAGCTTATGATCTTCTTCCTTGAACACTTTCTGGACCGCATGATGCACATGTGCAATCATTCGCTTTTGTTCTATGTTGCACATAAGATTTATTTCATGTGACAAAGTGGTCCGTTCTTGAGTACGAAAGTCGCATAAAAAAAACTCCTCGCCGTTGGACAGTCCCTTTGCGAAATGCGGCACGCGTTCTACTTCTATTCAAAATCCTAGTGGCTTTTCGAATGTGATGTGGCCTATACACTGACTTGTGGGGGCCAGCCAATGTGCAAGTCACTCTTCTTAGCCTCCCAGACAAGTCTGGTACCGTTTAACTATCCCTGGAGGGTAGAACGCTCGGCTGAGAGCAGGAGTCGACTCGGGATTCAGAACCAGGAGCTTGCAGGTGGTAAGCGCTCCATGTCACTACACTACTTCCGAAAGGCGCATATTTTTCATGAAAGTTGAAAGACATGTAACTGCTGATTGTCGGCTTAAAAAGTGATGGAATGATTCAGAGATTTCAGTAACACTGACCTCACCCTACACCTAGTGAAGTTGCTCTATATCTGCCTTGTTATATTTTCTATTGGTTAAGGCACCCATCTGATTATAAAACAAAGACTAAGTGAAGGAATCGTAAGAGTAATGCTATACGGAGGAGGCACGTAATGGACGTTTACCCCCCCCCCCCTCGAACGAAAAGTGGATAGACATCAAGAAGAAAACAGTAACGCAAGGTAACCAGGAAAGAAAGCAGTCCGAAACCAAAGTTATGTTGTTGGCCAATTCTGCACCACTCGGCAGCCATACCCTTACGTCGCAGCTTGGGGTCATAGGTTCTTACCGGAACTCTGCTCACGAGATACCGACAGCTCTCGTAAAACCGACGAGCTCGACATGGGCTAGAATGCAGTACCGCTCGGTCAAAGGGCACATAGCCAACCAATAGCAGTTCAGAAACTTTCTATTTGCTCCGTCTCAGAAGTTACCTGTATTATGCAAGATCGAGTGACCACTGTCATAAGAAAAGGGGATGCATAGCTTGAAGACAAGGCCAGAACGCTAACGAACAACGGCCATAGAAAAAAGAAACAAAAAACCAGAAAGGAACAAACAAGCATATAATGCTCATTCCAACTACATCATCAAACGCCGATAATATCCAGAGATTCCATTTCAGTTAGAACACTTTGAAATCAGCTTTGGTGGAGAGAAGGTCTGAGGGGGCCTACTCAACCACATGCTTATCACTCGCTATCAGATCGCTTGTGGATCTGAACCTCCAATAATTCAAATTCGCAAACGGGTCTCTCTTCTCAATAGTTTGTTAGCCAGAATGATGTTTACCTGCATTCCTCTGGAAAAAAGTTTTCAAATTCGGTTTATCGAGACGAGCCTTTATGAGGGTAGCACCAGTGGATAGCAGGGAAAGACAGTAAAAAAATCCGTGTAAAGATTCTCTGATAACTCTCAATCTTGTTTATGTCTTTTTTTAAGACTCCTGCATACAGGAGTAGCCAGAATAGGCCGAACGAATGTCTTCTATAGCCTGTCGCATGCACTGGCATTAGTACAATGAACTTACATCTGCTAACACTACGATTCAATGTAATCAGATTTGTTTTAGCGACGTTCCTCCATAGTATTCGCGAATAATTTGTGTGATGTTAGCGACGAGGAAGTTGATCAGTCACCTCATGCTCCAGATGATGTATTTGGGTATGTCACAATTTAACACGCTATAGTTTTGTATTTCAAAATTTGCGCATTATAGACGAGCGTTCGGAACTATTTTTTCGAGGAAAAACTCCTTTGTTAGCGTCCAGAAATCCTATCTTATAGAGTAAACTCCAACGAAACATCACCACATTTTTGAGGTGCTAAGCATAAACTTTACTGGGGTCTCCGGTAGTGGATTGAAGTAGCTATAGAACTTAGAACGGATCATTGTATGTCTCGATATGTTGAGTGTTGATCTAAATTCGGGACTTTTGTGTGTTAAAGCCAAAAAATTTGTGCAGCTGCTTCGAATAATGCTGTGATTTACACCTTTTATAGCTCAATCAGGGACGAACGTGGCATTCATTTTCTGACACCAGCGCCATTTAGCGCTGTGCTAGGCTGTGCCTAAGGGAGTGATTCCCTTCAGGCTAGACTCAGCCAAATAAAAGATGATCGTAGCGAACTCCATCATTCCGGCGCCAAAAATGGATGTCACAGTCGTAAGCAGGATGTCAGATAATCGCCGAATACACGCTTATATTTCGGTGACGAGGGTAGTTTGGAGTTGGCGCCTGTAGCGCGGGAGCCTGGCGGTTTCAGGCCGATGTGGGTTATTTGTAGGAGGTAGAACTACCCACGGGGCCCGTTTCAGCAAATTTTGTGATTCATGCGCGGGTGCCAGTGGCACGGGCGCAATTCGCTTTCAGGTCAAGCTGATATGATATTTATGGTTGAAAGGTCAATTACCCTCAGACAAAGTTTTCAGCGTATTTGATGATCTAGCGCTTACGGCGCCGGCGCCTATGCTTCCAAGCTGATGTGATCTTCATGCTCGGGAGGTTGAATTACCCTCGTTAAACTTTCAGCGAAATCAGCCCTTGTTGAAAAAGTCGGTAAAAAACCGGCACGATTTCTGAATATTAGGGTACTATTATTCGATTAGAAGCTGGCTTTTTCTAGGACTGGTGCAGCACGTGCAACTTCAATACCGACGGGATCGCAGCCAGGGGAAAGCTCAATTCATGGGGTGAGATTATAACGCTCTGGTAAGGTAGCTAAAATTATGCTTTTTTTGCAGAGTCGATCTTCTTCTTTTATCGATAAAAAAGCTGGACCTAGTTCATCCGAAGAAGTGAACGGCACACCACAGAAATCTTCTAGACAAGTAGGCGTTTCTACTTGTATTGCTGCTACCAAGTATATACCTTTTCTTGGCTCCACATCTTCCGAAAATAATCTGACTGGGTTGTGGTGGGGGGGGGGGGGGCAGAGTTAAACAAGCAGGTCCATGGAAAGGAGGGGGCTGAGCTACAGCACGCAAAGGTGTACCACATTTCAGGTAATCAAGGTCTCTTGGAAAGATCAGAAACTTGCAAACGCAATACATTTCCTGTGTTCATTTTACCCGACTAATGAGATATCACCTAAGGTATTGTTCTCATGTCTTTGAATCGATACCTTGCTGGTCATACGGCTTGATATCATTTTTGTCCAGAACACAGCAGGGAGAGTAACTCTCATATTCTGATTGGAGATATGTCTGATTTTCCCATTTCACGCACATTATATGCCCCCCGCGCCGCTCCACAGTAAACGATTGAGTTCAGTACACGATTAGCCTGCAATACCCAATGTGGGGTATAATGGAAAGGAATGAAGCGCAGGTCACCCTCTGATCTATTCTTATCCACGGATATAATCGCCTGTCACTGTCACCAATGCCGGAATGTCCGTACCCTTTGGTAGCGTGAGCAACTTTCAACACTGAAGAAGAATGACGGTGGCAATATTTTGACAGCCCTGATCATGCTATCCCTCTCCGTCACCCATCAGTAATATCCCCGTCACATCCCCTACATCATTTGTTGAAACAAACTTTTCACGGTTACTGTGACGCGCTTTGAATCAGGTGACCTTTGAGTTCTAATTCCCCTTGTCGGTGTTCCTGCTCCATGTCCTATATCATATCCTAAAACCAACGTCGCACCGTTGCTGGGACCGGCGCTATGAATTCCGTAACCGTCCCCCTAGCGCTCGTTGTCTGCTCATATCAGTTGTTATCACTTTCTGTCGCCCAATAATGATGTTCAGGTCGCACCCACTATATCACTTATCAGTTTTAAGTTTCTATGTCTGGATCAAAGAAAGTTATGAGTTCCCAAACACACACACGCATACATCAAAAGACAAAACTAACGGATTATAGTGGGGTTGGAGCACATTTGCCGGTACCCTGTTAAAGGCACATGGTACGATCACACATAGTTTGGGTGCGTGACTATCAGCCCCCACCCTGTCGAAGCGTAGCGGTTTCACCCTCCTAACATGCGCAGGAATGGAGATACAGGACCGTGAAACGCGCTAGTTCCTTCATGCTCCGCCCAATGCCTTTTGCGGCACAGACTTCCGTTTATGCTAACAGCCGTCCGCGCGGCGCGTGTCGTGCACTTTGCCGAGTCCTGTAATTGCGCTTTGGAATACAAGTGAAACGCAATTTCCAGATGCGGATAACATTTGAGGTGTTAGCATAAACGTGCTGCAAATTCCGAATAGAGGGTGATGAAGGTGACAAAGGCTAGAAATTAAGAACAGCGAATGTAGCTGTAAATAAAACGAAAATGTAAAGATTAAGGAAATGCAAATTG